AGGAGGGAGGATTGTAATATCCCGATATTTTATCAGAATAAATTACGTTTTAATTCCGATATAATAATGTAATCATTTATTATTTTCGGAATTAAGTAAGTTCAGTCGGAATTACCGAAATCTATTTTCGACGTACCGTTTACATTCGAAATAATTTTGGTAATTAAGTATTATGTTAATTAAATAATTAAGCATGCATTAGGGATTAATTGAGCAATTAACCCTAATAACATGTATTAATGCCGTGAGATTGCTTAAGGGAATAGTCCCAATAGTCCTCACATTCTTCATTCTTAAGAAACAAATTCCTTTCCTCCACACGTGCCTTAAGGAGAAGAAAAGTAGGGAGATGAGTCATCCCCAAATTAATCATGGTAAAGCAAATGTCCAAAAATAAGGAGGCCACGCCTCACCTAGCTCTTTTCATCCCTCATGACCGTACATATATAAAGGAGTGCTTAGATAAAAAAATTTCCCACTTTTCCTTGATATAACTCAGCAGCACTACTTCCCTTCATATACCTTCAGCAGCAAGCTTAATTCAAGCAAGAATTTCCCTATAAATTGCTAATAAACGCACGGCAAGTGAAGAGTAACCGCACGGCAACCGCACGAGCCTATAAGCACGCCTATTTTCCGAATTTATTCGAGCAATCAGAGAGGTAATCCCTCCTTCAATTTATGTTCATGTTAACAAGAACAAATTAAGGTTATGTGTTCGATTAGTTGTCGAGAAATTCAGATTAAACCGTGCATATAGGCGAGCATGTTTAACTAAGATTATCACCGAACGAATTTCAATTTCTTCCAGTAACCCTCGAAATATGATCATATATATATTCAGTTTAGTCTAATTCGTGTTCAGAATGATCAATTTTGTCGAGACAAAATGAAGTATTGCCGATGAAACGACCCCAACCGTAGCCAACGCCTATCGCGTGGCCTCGGATGGCCTCGGGCCGTAGTATGTGTTTTCAGTAATCAGCACGTTCGGTCCGTGTGGTTATGTTTTAAAATGATATTCATGTTGTGTTGTTCGTAGGTTGCCGGGGAAAAAGGTAGTTCGGCCGAGAGGCGGCACATAGCCGTCGGCGACGCACGGGCATGCGCCGCGGCCTTTCATGTTCAATATGCGTTCGGTGTATCTTCAGGTCATGTGTGCTAAGTTTATTCATGTAAGACATGTTAAGTCCAGTCAAGTTAAATTGGTCGAGATAATTGCTAGTTTGGTCGAGAGATGGCCATAGGCCGTAGGCCTCGCACGTAGCGAGCGCCCCGGCCGAGGGTTAGGTCCGATCAGCACATTCAGTAATTTCATGTTAAATCCAGTTTATGGTTCATGAGTGGTTAGAACATGTTAATTAAGTCAGTTTGGTCGGAAGAATTCGCCGGACGGTCGGCAAGGGGTCGACCGTGGACGTGCTGCCGGCAGCAGCGCCTCGGCC